TACAAAATCTCCAAGTACTTACTTGTCATTTTTGAGACTGAGTCATCCTTGTGAGCATGTTTTAGGTTGGTGCATGTCTTTGCTGGAACCATTTGTTGGAGGTCCAACTTCATTTTAAAATGCTGATGCTCTCTGGAGAAGGCCAAAACACTGGTGCAGGTAAAGGATAAATCATCAAACCCAATTTTATTGCCCTTTGGTTTTGAAGGACAGCTTTGCTACTTGAACATTAAAGTTTGCTAGTGTGGCAATACTGGCAAAGCATGTATAGACCAGCCCTTAATGGCTAATCTGGAGCAAAATCATTAATTTGGGAAGACAGCTCCTTTCCAAAAGACAAGTGTCTCCCTCTTGTCTGGTTCCTGACACCCTGCAGTGTAAATAGGTCAGTGAACTGCATTTGCACTGTGGTGATGTGAGAGCAGGTAAAAGTTTTGTGATGCAAGCATCAAACCCAAGCATCTCTCTCTTGTTTCCCAGATTTTTTGATGGCTGTTCACTGTAAATATCAACAACCTGCTTGTGGTGAGTGTGGTCTGGAGCATTCTGGTAGGCACAGTCTTTGCAGACAGGTGTTTTCTTTATTTGTTTAGGTTCCAATATACCAGCACTCTAAGGATTAAAGCTTTCCAAGAGTTGTGCTCTTGTTCTCTGTATAACTTACATGACCATTGTAAAAACACTTCAGTTGTCTTTTCTTAATAGTTTACAGATAAGGCAGAGATTTCAAAGATGAAAATATTCCCACAAAATTATGTCTGACTCAGGAAAGCAAGTGGTGGTGGTGGTGGCCAAGTTCTTAACTTGAATTTTCATTTTGTTTGTTGTTTTGTCTAGTTGAGTATTTAAAAGTGATTATTCCCCTCCTATAAACTTTCAACTATAAAGTGTAAGAAAACCAAGTTTTCAGACGCATGGATTCTTTTTTTCAACCTGCTTCTTATAAATCTTAACTGTCCCACAACAGTGCTTTCACAGGGATTGACTGTAAGGTCAGAAGTATTGGTTGTGCTTTGATTTGTTCTGCTCTTTTAAAGTAACAATAAGTTGGAAGTTCCATCCTAATTTTAACAAGAACTGTGGACAGTCTTAATTTACCTGTTGGTTTGCTTTTTGCTTGCGGTTTTTTTTTTTGTTGGTTTGTTGTTTTTTTTTGTTATTATTATTATTATTTGAATCTGTTTTATGTCATTAGAGGTAAATTGTTGTCCCTAGCAGTATCAACATCAGTTCCTGAGCCTGTGTTTTCATTTTGAGGATTCACCTTGCTTATACTGCTTACATATACAGAAGGAGCACTGGAATTTTTATCCTCATTCTGCCTCATGTAGAGCATTTCAGATGACTCATTAGATTGTATTCCTTAAGTGATGTGGAACAGCAGATTCTAAATTTGTCACACAGACAACATCAAAACACATCAACCCATTTGTTCTTATGCTACTGGCCCAAGGTGTTGTGTGCCAGCAGTTTTCCTGATGAGGCACAAGATGTTGGGATGGATGTTGAGCATTTATAGAATAGTTTTAGGTTACTGGAAGCAATTTCAACTTACAATCATCGTCTTAATTTAAAAATGGAAATTATTGTTTTAAAATGTGTATGGAGTCAAGTTGCTCAAAATTAAATTACTTGAGAAAACAGGATGAAGAAGTTGCCTTGTTCCATTTCCTCCTCCAGGTCTGTCTTGCCTGTGCTCTGCTGCCAACTCATGGGGGGGTTTGGTTGGCTGGGAGGGTTATTTCCTTCTAGATCTCGATGTTCTGGTCTTCCATGTGAATTAAGGACGACTGAGGCAGCCTTTTCAGCTGTGGTTTGGCAGCTTGGAGTGCTTTTAAAGTAATTAGAAATGTTGTCCGCAGTAGGAAGCTGTCACATCCCTGTGTTAGAAGCAGCTGTGCTGCAGCTGGCCCATCTCTGCACCTTGGGCTGCTGATTGCCCCTTCCAGCTCTCAGCCACGCAAATCACAGGCTGAATAAATCACCCTGAGGAGGAGCATGGCAGAAAGAAGGCACCCTCCTTCTGGAATGCTGACAGATTGGAGAGCCTCTGCTTAAACATAGCTGGTAACTTACTTTCTAAAATGAAATTTGATAGTGGGCAAGGGTTAAATATTTCTACATGTGCTGTCCATTGTCTTTCTGAACTGGGAACAAATACGTTTGGAAACTTTCTGCTTCTGTCTCTGGTGTTATGACAGGGATGCCCAGGTCTCAGTTTGCAGGCGAGGTGTGGGTGCAGGTCACAGCTGATGCTGGGTGATGCAAGAGGAGATGTGGCTCCTTGCCCTCTGCTTGCACACCTCCTACTTTTCTCTCCTCCTTCAGCTTTCTTTCCATTTGGACCCATGATTTTTTTTTTTCTTAAACTTTTTCAGCCCCAAACCTGGTTATAATATGTCCTTGCTTCATATTTTTCCTCCCCTCTTCCCAACAGCCACTAGCTGTCCTGCAGTTTTGACGTGAGTGACAAGGTATACATCCAGCTGCCTTCGGGAGTTGCTCTCTTGGCATAGCTCAGAAGTACTTGTACTGAAATAAAAAACCGTATATTTTATTAACCAACAAATTAAAATCATGTGACAGATGCATCACTATTGCTTCCCATGACATATGATAGGAACAAAATTTAATCTGAACTGGGAAGCGTTTGCATAAGGTGAATGTTTGCCTAGATACGAGTGTCTGTAACTTTGAAGTAATTTGATTTGTTCTCAAGGTTATTTCTCTGCTTTGCCTTCATGTTTTGGCCTTGCATTAGGGCCTAGGTCATTTCTTTGCAGCTCACGAACTGTTGATGTCTGAAAAAGTACACAGTAATTAGAACATCTACCCTGATAAGACCCAAAAACTCTGAACAACACTTTCTTGTTACCAGGAGGCGTCAGCATAAAGTCCATGCAATAAGGTGATTTAGCTTGGGTGTGTACAGGTGATGCTAAGATGAAAGTTAGTGATAAATAGCACGAGTCCTTTCCCTAATCTCCCCATTAGTGCTGGCATCAACATGCTTATTATATGCCTTGGATTTTAAGCCCCTCGATGTGTTGGACACCCCAGGTTCTCTGTAGATGCTGCTGTGTATTTGATCATAACAGCTACTTACTGACTCATGTGAGATCCAGGCATCACCCAACTATCTTTTCTGCTGAAGGAAGCCAGACACTGGGAGCCTTGAAACATTTTATGTTAAGTTAAAAGAAAACACAGTTTTTTCCTAGGAATCCAAAAAACAAAGAATCCAGAAGAAAACAAAAAACCAAGAATCCCAGAACCCAAGTGTAAATGGAAGTAGTTTGGATGGATTTGAAAATGTGTGTAAAGAAGCACGTTGCCCTGTGTGTATGTGCTCTGTGACCCATTTGGAGCTTGTAGACATGGAAAATGCACATTTCACATGGGCAAGGATGGCTCGGGCTGAGGAACATGTTGTACATTCTGCTGGAAATGTACATTTGGGGCAGGAGTTTTCAGCTGACAAGCTGTAAATCATTGCCTGCTATTGCAGCATGTGCTTTAATGGGAGTCACATAATTTTCCTAATCTCCTTGCAGGTGTTAGGAAATAAACAATTTCCTAACCCACGCCACGTTGTTGTTATTTGTATTGTAACTTGTGCCAGGTGCTGTACAGACAGCATGAAGCAGCTCCAGCCCTGGTGCATGGGCACTGCTATCTCTGGGTGTTCTGCAGAGTAGAAAAGGGATGTGAAGACAGGACCACAAATACGATGAACTAAAAGGCTAAAATTACTGCCCTTCTTCACACTTAAAAATAGCTCCTTACAGACGAAGGTTTTATTTGATGTGAGTTACAGCTTATTTTGTGAGAAACTTAATTTATTCCTATATGAGTAAGTGAGTCAGAATCTGCCCTTAGCTAAGACTTATTTATGTATTTGCTTAGCATGAGTGTGGATAGCAGGAGGCTGGACACTTTCAGCTTAGCAAAGCCACAGCTTTTCACATTAAGAATCTGATTCTATCTAAGAATATATTCAAATGAATGTTAAAAAGTTTTAAAAGCTTTTATTTTTGTGTGCTGTGGTACAGATGTAGGTCACTATATATACACAGAAGTAGGGAAACAAACTTTCTTGTATTTGTATAATGTATTCTTCGTTGACCAAATTGTGGAAAAATATGTTTTAAAACTGATCTTTTATTAGCTCTTGTGGCTGTTGGCACCAAACTGGTGGATGCTGCTCCCTTTTGAACACTTAAAGTTGTCTCTCCTGGAAGAAGTGTTTGCACTGACAGCTGGTGGAAGGCAAAGTGTCTGCTGTGCTATTATTACTTCCTCACCTTTTCCCCTAGCCTCCACCATTCTATTCACAGGCACATCACAGGGCTCCTGGTATGTTTAAAGAAATGGCTTGTAAGTGAAGTGTCCACTGATGTAGATGAATATTTATAGTTCTGCTGAGCAGCACATGGGCTGTTTCCTGCAACTGTGAGTGCATGGCTTGGTTACAGCCAAGCACAGCATTAGGTTGATAACATCATAAACTACACAAAATGGTAATGCAATCCAAATGTTTGTGCTGCCAGTGAATAGTCTGATCACATCTGCTAACTCTAATTATTTCTTCCTTGGTAAAAAAAGCTTTGGTTTTGTTCTGGTTTGAGTTTTTTCCTACCTTTATCAAAGCAAATTCTTGTGTTTCATCTGTCAGCAGAGCTGCTGTTCTGTTGGAAGGTCTGAGTGAAGTTTTTGAATGCTTGTGATGAATGAGCTGGGATAAAACATACTTTGGCTCTTTGATGGCCTGGGTAGTTTGCAAGGCTGGCAGATTTGTTCAGTTTGCAAATGTGATGAGCAGTATCAGAGGCCATACCTACGTGCTAATTCAAAGGATAATTTTTCCATCACATGGAAAGGTTTTAACATCTGTGTGTGGCTCAAGACATCCATATTCTGAGATCTCAGATTCCTCAGAAACTGACAGCAAGCAATGCCCAGATTTTGAACTTTGCTCTTTTCCTTTTCTCTTCTCTTAGAACAAAATTGAATTACAATCCTCCAAAGGATGATGGCTCAACATACAAGATTGAACTCGAAGGGATATCTGTTGATATCATGAAAGAGATATTAGACTACATCTTCAGTGGGCAGGTATGGTATTAAAAAAACCCTAAAACTCACCTGGACTATTTGGCAAAATAACTTGAATTTTTAACACTGCTATCCTGAGAGGTGCTTAAAATTTTGTGATAAAGCTTCTGCAGAGTGGGACTGTGCATATGAAGTAGAGGCAGTAGGCTCTGCAGTTCTCTCCTCTTCTTGTGCAGCAGGGGAGGACTTTAAAATTTAAGTCAATGTCAAATGCTTGTATTGAAATTGGTGGCTACCTTCAGTAACCTGTTTTAAAACAGGTAGTGTTTGTCAGCTGTGACAGAGGACTGCTTTGGTAGTTACAGAGATGGAGACCCCATCAGTAAGGATTACACCTCAGTGTAATCCAGGAGTACACCAGGCACCCTCCCTCCCTGCCCCTCGTGCCCACCTCTCTGGCCTCTTGTCAGATCTGCCTGCCAGGAGCCTTAGCAGGAATTAAAGTTGGTGTGTCTAGTTTATTTGGAACCAGACTGAGATTGATGAATGAGTTTAGCTTTCAGCAGAAAAAGAAAAGGTAGATTTGGCTTAAAATTCATTCCTGCATGTGTGTTTTAAAAAATTATATATTTATTACAACAAAACACATTTTAGGTTCCCGGATGAGATGAACAATTTTATGGTTGGTTACTTCAGGAACTTATCAAAATTTCTGCTCCACACCTTCTGTCAAGCAAATGCCTTTCCAACCCTGTGTTAATTAATTAATGGTTAGCAGTCATATCAGTTTCTCCTGATTCTTACATTGGCATTAATACTCAATTTTTCAGCCACTGAGAATGAGTGTAATGAATGCAGGCATGTCATGGAACAAATGAGTGATAGTAGCTATAACTTCTAAATTAATTCTTGCAGATCAGGCTAAATGAAGAAACTATCCAAGATGTGGTACAGGCAGCTGATCTCCTGCTGCTTACAGACTTAAAAACTCTCTGCTGTGAGTTTTTAGAAGGTTGCATAGCTGCTGAGAACTGTATTGGTATTCGGGACTTTGCACTGCACTATTGTTTGCATCATGTTCACTACCTTGCCTCAGAGTATCTGGAAACTCACTTTCGAGATGTCAGCAGCACAGAGGAATTCTTGGAACTGACTCCTCAAAAACTGAAAGAAGTGCTGTCGATGGAAAAGCTCAATGTTGGAAACGAAAGATACGTCTTTGAAGCGGTGATTAGGTGGATTTCTCATGATTCAGAATCCAGAAAGGTCAGGACATCCAAATGTTTGTATTTTGAACATGGCGCAAATCGGAGTGTTCATTCTAATCAGTGGGAGCTTGAAATAGATCTGTTTCTTTCAGCACTAATCTTACAGAATTTATTGAATTTTGCCTGAAATGCAGACCATGGCATTGCAGTAAGAAGATGAAAGCTGTGTGGATGGTATATTATCTGCTGCCTTCATTATTTAATAGGCATTAAGAAAAAAAAGCACCATTTTGACATTTGATGATATAATCGTGTTTAGATGATGGGAAAGCAAGTAGCATGTTTACAAAGAAACTTTAAGGACTTGGTGCATTTTCTTACTAACACTGTCTTGTATAATTTATTACTTGCCGGTATCAAAAACCCTCAAGTATTTGCTAAGCACAGAAGCATCTGCAGTCCGTGTGCCTCCGTGCTGGGAGTGATTTTGTGTCTGTGCTGCCTCCACAGGTCCACATGAAGGATGTGATGTCGGCAGTGTGGGTGTCGGGGCTGGACGCGGCGTATCTGCGCGAGCAGATGATGAGCGAGCCGCTGGTCCGCGAGATCGTCAAGGAGTGCAACAACATCCCCCTGACACCCCCGCAGCAGGGAGAGGCCATGCTGGCCTCCTTCAAGCCCCGGGGCTACTCCGAGTGCATCGTGACTGTTGGGGGGGAAGAGAGAGTGTAAGTGTGCAGTGCCGTGATAGCCGGTCCCAGGGCCAGCACTCGTGGCTCTCTGAAAACACAGAGTGCAGAGAATGTGTGCACCTATTACTTGATACTCTATCATTTGAGTTTGTTTTACGTTGGTCAGACACACCTAAAATACCTTTGGGGGTGATTCAGCAATAAATAGTTATTTTGTTTCTGACATTCCACATGTTGTAAACTTAGAGTAGGATTGTTTGTTCAGTAAGTGTTGGCTAGTTTTTATTTTTTAAACTGAATAGACTTAAACACAGAATCATTTCTGATGATCTGAAAAGCATCTATAACAAAACTTAGAAGTAATGAACATGTGCTTTAAACAGTTTTATTTATAATAGATAGATGTGGTTTCAAAAAAAAAAAGTCATTATTGGTGCATCTGAGATAAGCTGAAACTTCCTGTTCCACACAAGGATCCCTTTTGTTTCTTAAGTACTCCCTGCAACAGAAGGGAGGATTCAGTCCTGTTTAAATAAATTTAGCATTTAGATGTTAGCTCTTTATAGAAGCGTTGTAAACCACTCAGATAACATTTTGCATGTCAGTTTGTGAATCACTTTACTCAGACATTACTAATACTCTATATCGGTTCTTCTTAGCTCGTTCAAAGTTCATAAAAAAGGTTACAGGCAGATACAGTAGGAATGAAGTCAGTCAGCTTTTTATGTCTCCAAGTGTGTACAAACTCAATTTACATGTTTGGTTTGGGGGTCTTCTCCTTACCAGGGAAATGCCACGTGATGAATATACACGAAAACAAGAACAAGCCAGCTTTGGACACGAGGTGTTAACAGTGAACTCGTAAAACTCTTGTCTTTGTCTGTTTCTGTTTGTTCCCTCCCCACCCTGTGTTCAGATCACGGAAACCAACCTCAGTGATGCGGTGTATGTGTCCTCTTTATGATCCCAATAGACAGCTCTGGATTGAACTTGCTCCTATGAGTATTCCAAGGATCAATCATGGAGTATTGTCAGCAGGTAAAGGGGAACTTCATCTTTGTGAAGTCAATGTTACAAAAACTTACCAGTGCCTCAAAATCTGAGATACAGCTTATAATAATATATTTTCTTCAAGACTGACTGCACTGGGGTTATTTCATGCTTCCCCTTTGTCTGCCCAAGACTGTACTTGACTTTGTGAAAATCCCTGTCATCTGAGTGTCTTAAAATCACTATTCCTGCAATGTTTTGTGGGAATCTGCTACATCTGTCTCTCCAGGAGTATTTCATGTTTTAAGTAAATTCTAGTTACTGCATCACTGAATATGTTGAAGGGTATCTGCAGGGGCAGACTTGAGTCAGATGTAAGTATGTGCTTTACCTTCTCCAGTCCAAAGTCTGACCTGTGACTGGTCTGGATCTCTTGGTGAATTCCAGAATACAGCTCACCAGTCATGTTGTTTTGCTCAGTGTGCAAGTGTGGGTCCTCTTCTTGAGAGTCCTGTTCTTAAGATTATGTTACATTTTGTTTTACAGAAGGATTTTTATTTGTACTTGGTGGTCAGGATGAAAACAAGGGAACGCTAAGCTCTGGAGAGAAATATGATCCAGACACCAATTCATGGAGTTCCTTACCACCAATGCATGAGGCAAGATCTCTATCTAACTGTTGGGATTTAAGTTTTTACTTTGGCAAAATGTTCCTTTTCTTCTGCAAAATTTTGTTCTGAATCTCCAGTTGCTTGCATCTTACACATTCAAAATCATGCTACAGACTGACTTCTGCTTATATCCTGTTGTTCTTGTGGTCTGATGCTGACTGCTGGATCTGGAAAAACTAAACAATTGGTGAAGAGCTAACTGTAAGATGAACTACAAAATTTCAGGAATTTCATAATGAATCAGTCCTATAGTATACTTAATGTTCTGCGTGTACTGGCCTTCTAAAACAAGAGACCTCTGAGATGGACAAAGGGATCGGACTGTGCAGAAAAGATGGACAGAGGACTGGCCAACATACAGAACTTGGCTTGCACAGACATATTTAGGTTTGGTTTGAGTTAATGCTTCCTTCTTCATAATTGCATTCCATCAAAAAGTAACAGTTTGTTATTTGTAAACATATATCCTTAATACACCCGTGTTTTTATCTTTGTAAATCAGCACAGGGTGTTTATTAAGAAGTTGTTTACCACAGGATTTTCCTCTTTGCAATCTCTGGTTGACAAAGGCATGTACATTTTAGTTATGATGCATTAAATTTCCTGCTTGTGATACATTTGCTGTGAGACTGAGGGGTAGCTGGGCTCATACATACCAAATAGAAGAGCTGCCTTTGCACAGAGAATGGGTCCAGGCTTTGCTGCTAGAGAGACCTGAAAGCAACAGCTTCATTGTGGAGACCACCACTATGGAAACTGAAATATGGCCAAGCTTTGTTCTTAGATTTCTGTGTGGTCTCTTTGGCTTCTGCTGCTCTGCTTTTTTTTTTTTTTTTTTTTTTTTTTTTTATACCCTTTGTTTTGTTTAGTTGATTAAATTAATAGTCTTATGCTGGTGTTTAGGACTTCACCATGTTAAAAAAAACCAAAAAACAAAAAACAGAACAAAAGCCAGGCATAATACTAATAGCACTGTGCAGACACTCTGAAAAATAAGATTGTGTTCATTTGTGTTCATTTATTCACAATGGCAGTTATGTTTTTCAATGTTGACTTTATTGATGTTCCTTAGGCACGGCATAATTTTGGTGTGGTAGAGATTGATGGGATTCTGTATATTCTGGGAGGTGAGGATGGTGAAAGGGAGCTGATCTCTATGGAGAGCTATGATATTTATAGCCGGACCTGGACCAAGCAGCCAGACTTGACCATGGTTAGAAAGGTAAAAACTACATCTTATATTATTGTGTTGCTTCTTGTTAAATAGTCAATGCACATATATGTATGTGTGTGTATATATATACATGTATAAAAATATGTATTTTAATATTTTGCTTCAAGTAGAAGCTGTAGCAAATAGTCTCAAAATGCAATGAGAGTGAGCAGCTTGCTCTGTCTTTATACACCAAAACAAAACTCTGTCTGAGTATTTTTGTGCCTCGCACGTTTGACATGGGGTATAGGCAACCCAAATGTCTGCGTGTGTGTGTATAGACAGCTTTGAGCTCTCAATACTGTGCACTTGTATGTCATTTCAGATATATTTTTCTTTTTTTTCCATAAGATTGGCTGCTATGCAGCTATGAAGAAGAAAATCTATGCAATGGGTGGAGGCTCCTATGGAAAACTGTTTGAATCTGTGGAGTGTTACGACCCCAGGACTCAGCAGTGGACAGCAATCTGTCCTCTCAAAGAGAGGAGGTGAGGGAAAATGGAAGTGAGGAACTAGATTGCTTTTCCAGCCCTCTGATGGGAGGAAAGTGTCCTTTTTCTGATGAATCTGTGAAGATGGCCTATGAATCTCACCAGGTCTTTGTGAGTCATGGTGCCTGTAGTTAACATGTGGTTGAGTAAAGACAAGCATCCAGGCAATAAATACAAATGTTGTAGAAACATAGCCCGGTGTTACAAGCACTAATTCTCTGATGCAAAGTGAAAACAGGAAATTATAGTTCAATTGGAACTTTAGAATATTTTTAGACAGAAATATTTTTACTGTTTTTGGGGTTTTTTTGTGATCTGAATTAGGCGCTTACAATTAATATCCATGACTCATCTTGCTGGATATTTAAGGCATCTGTATGTATAAATAAATAAAAGAGTAAAAGATGGATAAAGTTCAGAAGGGTATGAAAAAGGGTTTTGGTACACCGCATTAATATTTTTTCCTTGTTTGAATTTTCAGATTTGGGGCAGTGGCCTGTGGAGTTGCCTCTGAGCTTTATGTATTTGGTGGGGTCAGGAGTCGTGACGACAGCCAAGCCAGCGAGATGGTGACATGCAAATCAGAATTTTATCATGATGAGTTTAAAAGGTAACTGACTGCAGCTCTAAACATAGAAAATAACTTGCTATCCAGCCACCTGCCTGCTCCCTCATCCCTTGTTCCTGCACTCTGAATCACAAGAAGTCTGTGCCGTGTGTCTGTTGCTCATTTCACTTTTTGTCACCTGGTTTGGCTTTTACTGAAGGCCCATCCACTCCACTTTTCCCTCTAACATGCCAAGCCTAAAGCCCTGGAGCCACCATGTGGCTCTTGAGTGACCCTGGACAGGAGAAGCACCTTGGTCACACAGGGAGTTTGTTGTTCTTCCCCTGCACTCTGCAATTTCCCCAAGTGCTGCCCCCACCCCTACTTGTGCCCACAGCTCCCTGTTGAGTGCTCACTACAGGTCTTTTCCAACCTAAATGATTCCATGGTTCTATGGAGGAATGTATGAATGTACAGGAATATTTCTTCATGATCCATTCCTACCTCCAAAGATTTGCAGCTTAGGGAATTCCTAGAGATAAGAAATTTCATGCATTTCTGCTCCAGGCATTTATAGCTGATAGCACCCATGTCGGCTTTTGCCATAGGAAAGACACTATGGATGCTATACATCCCACATCTCACCACACTGTATGGCTCATCTCCTTCTGTTTGTTTTGAGTTTGCTTCCAATTACTTCATTTCTTATCTTTTGGCTCTGGTAGTGGAATCCACCTTACTATATGTGGTAACCATTCAAAATGTTACCTTACATTGAAATTTTTGTTTAGGCACCCTTTTCTCCAGTCATAACTGACAAACCTGGTTCCTCCAGTGACTTTTTTCTTGCATATACCTGTAAATTGGGTTATTCTTCTTTCATAAATTAAATTTTAGAAAGACTTTGTGGTCAGATGTTTCAAGGCTTGTTGACAAGTGAAGGAAATTAGCATGTTTTATTAGAAGATCAAGACTGATTTATGACAGTGACCTGTATAAAAGGACACAAAAATAGTACAGTAGATGTAAATTCATTATATAATTTTCTTGCAAGATGTGTTTGTAAAGAGACTTTAATTTCTGTATGAAGAGGTCTTCTCTGTTGTTCAAAGTGATGTCTAAACTAGCTATAATCAAATTAAGCTGAAGAAAAACATCCTTTAAATTGGTTAAAAGAAGCAGACAGATCAGAGGGGCTGCTGCTGCTGAATCTCCCTTACTGTTTGCTAGCCTTCTGGAGGCTGCAGAAATGGTAGAAGCTTATTAATGTTTTGCGAGAGGCCTTTGAAAGGGAAATAAGTGCTCCCCTCTATCCTACTTGCTATTTTCAGTGGATTTACTTGAAATACTTCCAGCCTGATTCTGTTCTTCAGAAGGTCATGATTCCTCAGCAGTGGCTGCAAACCTGTTTCACTGGTTGATGCAGGTTGGGCTCCCGTGCAGTGGATTTTGGGGAGCTGGGAGGGCCCAGCCTGGGCGCTGCAGGTGAGGCCGTGGTGCCACCTGCTGACTGCCACACTGGGATGGGTTTGTGGCTTTGCTCGGCGGCATGCCCCAGGCCTTGCAGGATCCCAGTGATAAAACTGCAGCTGCCCCAGCTGCTCTGAGTGCTGCCTGTGTGGTGTGAGGGCTGGCACGGGGCAGGGGAGGCAGCAGATATGACTGATGGAGCTGATGGAGGAGGCACATGGGGAGGGCGGCTGAGATACCAGACTTCGCCTTTCTGCTCTGCCACTGCCCAGTCTGAGCTTAGAAATTTAATTCAGCATGAACCTGCTGGCAGGGCACAGCTTTTGGGCATTTCTGTGGAAACTGGGGAACCAGGGAAGGCTGGGATGGTGGCAGCTGCTGCCTGGGGATGGTGCTCCCAGGGTTTGGAAGGCCCCAGCTCAGCCCAGGGGTGCTGTAGCCAGAAGAGGGTGCAGTGTCTCTGTGTTATGTTCCAGCACTCAGCTCCAGGGTCTGTCAATTATCCCAGGTTTTGGTACCCTCAGAGATCTGTGTAGCAGATCAATTCTAGCAGTCTAAACCAAAATTCACAGTGACTTTTTAAAAAGTTACTTGCCAATGTTGCATATTTTGTAATGAGCTGTGGGCTTTTCCAGCTGTTTTTAAGTGGAGAACTCCATTATGTTCCCTTTCTCTGTGGATGCAGAGAGCTCTCTGGACTGTGAGTTCAGCTGTGGGACGGTGTTGGTGCTGAGGTACGTGCAGCAGTGCACACCTGTGTCATTGCACAAATTTCCATGTGTGCCTCAGGCCTCATTGCCAGAGCACAGGGTCAAGCAGCATGCCAGGCACCCAGAGCCTGAGTGTCTGAATTACAGGTTTTACTCCAGTGTCAATGTCTAAGGATGTACTCACATCAGTATATAAACATATTAATTCATGTAAGCTGCCATAATTCTGGCTTGAATTGGATTAAAGGACTGGACTTGTTTAATATTGTTTACTTTGACAGTAAATTACTCCAAAATAACTCACAGTGCAGAGTCTTTAAAAATTGTTATTCTTAGCCATGACGCAGACTTTTCAAAGACTGGGGATATGCTGAGATCTTCACACTAGCAAAAAAATAAACATTGAGACTCCTGTTAAGCTGTGCTGTATAAACAAGTAATAGAATAAATGAAGTGAGACAAAATAGTAGCATCCACATGAAATGTGAACAGGGTAATGTAGGAAATAATTCTCATACTTGAAGTGCTGCTGTATTAATAAATGTTTTGTCAGGCTGTCTTCAGAGTCATATGCATGAGTGGATTTAAGTGAACCCAAAGATAGAAAAAGCTGTATGTCAGACTGCAGGGTTTTTGCAGGATGTAGATTTTTTTTTCAAAGGCTATAGATGGAGCTTTGTGTGCATTGTATCCTGTTTTTTTTAATTATCGATCAAGCTAAAAACAGGTTTAATGAATGTGAAAATGGAAGATGGAAATGTGAAGGTATCCTTCACCCAGTGATCCAGTGTTCATCTACTCCATAAAAAGCAGGAAGTCTTAAATACATACTCAAGACATTGATGGGGCAGACTTTCTATCAGAGTTCATAATTTATAATGCACTTTTTGCACCATGTAGGTGAGTGGAGAATTGGATGATGTCTGTGCACACTTGAGTTTTTTTCTTTTCAATGTGGATGGCTGGAAATATTTAAGACAGCCCAAATTGACTTCAGGATTCTTTGCAAGATCTGCTGGTGGATGGCCATTGCTGCCTTTCCCTGGTGGTCTGTAAGTGGGGTAGGATTTCTTCCTTCTTCTCATGATTCAAAAAGGAATTATGAAAATTTGCAGGTACTAAGGGGCATAAAAGTGAGAGAGAATTTTCAGCAGCAGTACTTTGGTAAAAGATCCTTCTTTTTGCTACTGGAACATCATGGAAATAAGAAAGAACTTTCAGCAGCATATAACTAGTGAACTAAATAGTCTTGTAACATAGTATGTGTAATTAGCAACATTCTTCCAGTCAGTGTGCAGGGATTTCATTAAAAGCAAGTGCTTATGCAAATGTAATGAGAACACTGATTGATAGCACTGTCAGATGAGAGGAACCTGTATTTTCATTCATTTCCAAGCTTCGTCTCTTAGCTGGGTGATCTTGAGGTGACGTGTCTGGAATATTGGCTCTGTATCACATCTTTATTTACTTCCCACTTGGAAATAAAGCAGTTACCCCCATCCCACTCATCAGCTGCAGCAGTGTGGATAGATATTTTGTTTGTCTCACTTTAAGACTAAAAGAAATCAAGATTCTTTCCTTTCTTTTTTAAAATTGGGTGGAAGCCTGTTCCAGTTTCAGAGCCATCACTTCTGCCCATGGTTGCAGCAGGACTTGCCTTCCCCCTGCTCCTCTTGGACTCAGTTTGAGTGGAGCCATCCCAGGGAAGTACGCAAGAGTTCTGTTCCAAGGACTGTTTTCAGATTCCTGAAGATTGTGAATTTTTGGTCATGGTGTTTTTTCCATACTGTTCAAACAGCAGGCACAACCCACATTAAGCTGGAGCTTAGTCAAATTCTGATGAAACGTGACCCCTTGCCCTTCCTGTCTTTGTTCCTTCCTAGTTTTAACTGCTAAAGCTGCTGTGAGTGTTCCTGAAAAGTGGTGCCTGTTTTTTAAAGCATACATGTTGAGAAAGCCTGAGGATGAATTTTCACAAGCAGCTACAGAAACTTTAATAATGTCCTTTGGTGGTGCATAGTAGGAAAATGCTTGGGTCTCACCCTGTGGGTTTAGGCTTTTTAATTTAAACTCCAAAACCCAGAGTATCTAGTGCAGATAAACTCCTGATTTGAGTTTTTTTCCCCTTCTTTAACCTGGTCCTATAGTTAGAATTAAAGAAAAAATCCAGTCTTCCTTCTGCATTTCTCTGCCACTTACTCAGTTTTCAGAATTCTAGGTCACTTGCTGCTAAAAAGCAGTGAAAATACTGTGCCCTTCTCCTTCCCTGGTAAGGGAAGGAAGCTAATGAAATATGGTGCAAGTTGTTTTGATCTGTGAGAGTTTCTGAAACAGTGTAGAGAACTCCTTTTCTCTCCTTAGTTCATCTGTCCTCCTCTGTGGCAGCTACAAACCATTTCCTTACTTTGTGCAGAACATTAATCCTTCAGTGTACAGCACAGACAAAATAATGGACAGCAAATCCTTTCATTTGCCCTTTAAAAATTGATTTCTATCTCCAAGATAATTGATATGGAGCAGTATCTCCTTCAGTGCCAGAGCAGCGGTTTACTTCTGAATTAGGAGTTCAGATGATGCAGAGTTTTCAAAGATCAGCAGTATCTGGGAGGGCATTTTCTAACGTTTTCCTTCAAATTAACCTGGTATGACCATGAAAATATATGGGATGATGTTCAAAGGTTTCTCAGACCTTCATGTTCTCTGTAAATTATTTAATGAAAAGTGTAGGAGCACTCCCCTAAAATGGCCTTGATTTGTACATGTCAGGGTCTGTGTGTGGTAACTGTGACAGCATCTGCAAAGGTGCAGCGGCATTTTGTAGGAATTTGTTTCAGAACCACAGAGAGGATGCTGATAGCTCTTGGGACCTCTTTATAAACCAGCATCCCACGTGGGTGAGGAGTACATCCCCACCTGTTTCCCAAAGGCTTCAACAAGGAAAACTGCTCTTCACTTGGTGGAAAGATCAGGCTGATGTAGTGTTGAAATGAGCCTGTGCTTACAGTGAACACAGGGGAATTGTAAGATTACTGTAGGAGCTAAAAAGGGATTGAAAAGAGCCTGATATGAGATTGGAAAGGTCTGTGGCAATTCCAGATAGAGGACATTTCTTTTCCAAATTCCATTACCACTTTGATTTCCAGTCTTCTATCCCTTGTTTGAAGTTAAGCATTGCCAAGTGCTGCATTCTTCGTAGCAGGCAAGGATTTGTTGTTCCTGATAAAGCACTAATAAAGAAGTTGAAGAATTATATGGGGGAGACACTGCTTAATAACAAGGTTCTGCTATAGCAAGTTGTTTTTTCCCTTACTGTGGATCATTAAAACTTATATGTGTTTATTTTAAAGACAATTTAAAGACTATTTTAAAAACTGCCTAAAATTTTCTCTGTAGGGAAGATTGACGGGCATAGTTGGCTCTCTAACTTGCCTGCTCTCTTCCAGAAGGTCATATTGTGTGGCTGCAAGAATAATTTATTTTAGGTAGATTACACAGATGAGTGGAGCAATTCTGAAATTAAGTAACTTCAGGATACAGCAGTACTAGCTGCTTTTCCTGGCAGGGAGAAACCAGGACTATCCCAAACTATGCAATATTCCCTTTACATAACAAATTAATATGTACACTCTGCTTTTGAGTCAAAGATTACAGCTGCAAAAAGACTCTGGATTATTTTTTTAAATGTGCTCACTAAAAATCAAATCCTGTTTTTTAATTGTTATTTTTACAGGTGGATTTATCTAAATGACCAGAATCTATGTATCCCAACTAGCTCTTCTTTCGTGTATGGAGCTGTGCCCATCGGAGCCAGCATATACGTGATTGGAGATCTCGATACAGGTCAGAGCCAGGACTAAAAACCTCTTTATGCTCATTTCCTTCCAATATTTTGATTACCTGGCACTGGTGAGACTGAACATTTTAAGAATAAGAGGCTGGGACACTGTTCTGTCACTGTGGGTCAGGGGGATTATGGGATTATGCTGGACATACACATAGGCTGGCTTTTGGACTTCTTCAGTAACAAGTTCAGTGCTATGAGCCTTGGCTTGATTTGGTTGATTAGTTTGAAGACCACAAGTGATCAGGACTAAGAGTGTGTTACTGCTTTTATCTAAGTACAAGAAGACCTGTTAGTGCCTGAGGTTGTAGCACCTGTTTTTGCAGTGGGAAACGCAATTCCGCATTCTAGGGGCATTGTCCAGTGGTTCATATGGATGTGAGAGTGACTCTTGGCTCTCAATCCCAATCAAATAGATGTGTGCTATCAAACATGCTCAGTTTGCAGCTGCCAGCGTCTGGCCATGCTCTGAAAAGAGATTTGGAAGACTTGTGGACATGTGTACGTATATGAGCGTGGAGTAGGGATTTTTCCAAAATATAAGCAAACAAAATTCCAAATTTGGTGGGTTTAAGTAGATCAGAAATGTCATAGTAGTTCCTTTTTGATGATAATTTCAACCACCCATCCAGACACTGATTTATGTTCCTGTGCATGCTCTCTTTCACGTATTTGCCTTACTAGAGGTTAGATGTGGTGGCAGCTGCAGTGAGTTTTAAGCATTTCATCTCTTTTTTTCGTTAATTCAGGTACAAACTATGACTATGTTAGGGAATTTAAGAGAAGCACGGGCACCTGGCAGCGCACGAAGCCGCTGTTCCCCTCGGACCTGCGCCGGACGGGCTGCGCAGCGCTGCGCATCGCCAACTGCAAACTCTTCCGGCTGCAGCTGCAGCAGGGATTGTTCCGCATCCGCGTCCCTTCGCCGTGATCCGTGTGCTGCCAGGGGAGGAGACTGGAAGAGTTCTGTGCAGTCCACCATAATCTAGCTCTATTTAAAGGAAAAGCTGAGAAATTACAGCTGAAAATTACACTGTATGCTGTGCTTTGGTATGGTAACTGTTTTTGTTTTAAATGCTTACAAAGCTTGAGTCTCAGTACTTGTTTCGGGAACAAATAACTTAAGTACACATTAAAGAGGAGAGAAGGGGGAAAATAAAAGGGGAGATCAAGGAAACACCTTCAGTCGTAACCATTTGGAGTTTAAACCCTGTTATTGAAGGAGGATTTTTGTGTGTGAAACTGGTGGGAATCGGTTTCCTTTGGCAAAGCTTATTGAAAAGCAAAAAAAAAAAAAAAAAGAAGCTTTCAGGTGCATTTCCCCTGCTGGGAACTGATACAAATCCATTTGCTATCTGGAACTGGATAGCTTAATACACAGAAGCTACATGATAACCAACCTCCCTGCTGTGCTGCTGTTGGAGCCTGAGGCCACAGGAGGTGTTGGTCGTTGCACCTTTTATTTCTAGTCCTTTCTCAAAAGATAAGGTCTGTGCCTAAAAAATGGTGGAGGTGTGTACATACGGTTTTTCATTCATTTGCGACGGTTTCATTCTGACAAATATTTTTAATATATATAAAATGGACTAATCTGAAAAGGATACACTCCAGGAAATGGATACAATACACCACAAAGATGTAAACAGTTTTTTCCTACACTGTCATTCGAGTAGCCTGATGAACTGGTCTGCAGGTGGGTGGCATGCACTTCTAGGTGGGCTTTGGTGGCTGTTTTCCTTGAAGTGAAAAGGGAAGACATGTTTGGAACAGTTAGTGATGATTGCTGCTTTTGGTAAGAGCAAAAGGACAAACTAAATAGATTGTGTTCCTTTTTACTTCACTTGCAAGCTAAGAATGGTTTTTAAGACTGAGGATTGTAAAAAGGTGTATTTTATGTCTCTTACAACAAAGGCGAAATATGACAAGGATATATTTATTTTGCAGAAAACATGGGGTTTGAACTAAGAGTTAAGGAAAATTTGTACAGTGACTTTAAATTGGGATCAAAACTTGGTTTACTAATGATTTCTGTGCTACAGTACAGTCTTGTTTACTGCTGTCTGACTTTGGAAGCTGGGTTTTATGATGTGGTTATAGTGAAGAACTTAGTATCTTGCATTTTATTTCTTACTAAGCCTTGTTCACATCAGTAGTGATATTTAATTGACTTTTGTTTGTAGTCAAGATTAGCTGATAGAACAGTTTTACCTCAATTTTTGATTTCATTGTTGTTGTGATGGGTGGGGCATAACCTGTATTTATTTAAAAGGAATAAACTGGGAGAGATGAAAAATATAAATAATACCTCCTGCCCTTCAGAAAAAGAGACTTTGTACAACCAGTATTATAACTACATACAAGACTATCCACTCTGAAACTTTGTGGACCTCAGACAAGCCAAACTCTGCCCTCAGTTAGTGTAAATCTTCGTCATCTTTATTGAAATAATTTTACATATGTTGAAATATGATCCCAAACTAGGTCAAAATATTGGTATTTCACTAAATAGTCTTTGAAGAGCCATTCTGAAACTTACTTCTGCTCACTCCTTCCATAGCACTGATGTGGGGTTGGAATTACTCTTGATTCCTGAGCAGAGGAGTGTGAGAGGGTGAGGAAAAGGGCAGCAGCCAACCCATTGACTTTATTTTTATTTTTTACAATGCTGAAGTGCTGCAAAACTTGAACTATATACATCGATTTTCTGACCTATATTAGTTGGCATATTAAAAAGTTTATATATTTATGCATTGCAGTAAACTTGGTGTGTATATATATATATATATATATATATGTCTTTAGGTTTTAAATTTATATATAATGCTTTACCACAGAAATGTGAACCACTATTTCCATCCTTGGCCGGCTTGTGAAATAAATCAAGTGCTGTTAGTTATGTAAAACTTCCCCTTTTTCAAAAATCTTACATGGGTCAATTTTTTTTTCCTCAGACAAAGTGCCAAGATCCCATATTCAAAAGTGATGAATGTTCCTAAGTATCAGTTTTACTTTGAGCTCAGTTTTCTAAGTAGTTTGGAAAATTTCAGAAAATGTTATTCAGAATATTACCAGCTGCTATCTCCTGAGTCCCTGTAGCTTCCCAGTACACTTGAGGGCATTCAGCATCCAGAAATGTAAGTGATAAATGCACATGATAAATCCAAGTAAATACTCTAGCAGTGTTTTGCAGTTCAAGTTACTGAACCAAATGTTTACACTTAGAGTAGGATTAACACTAGGTGTTCTTAGTTCATTTTTTTAAAGAAAAATAAAACAAATCTGGTGATTGGAGCATGTTGCAAATGCACTCAGTGAGATTTGACCAAGAAGTTTAAGCCTCTGTACCTGAACCAGTCACAAACTGAATTTCTGAGCACATTGTACTCGTGTCACGTTCCTTGTGGCTGGGGACCAAGTGTCCAAGGATGTTCTCCAGGGGTTTTGAGTGCATGCTCAAGATTTAGGCACTCCTGAGATGTCAAAACTGGTTTCTTTGGCATTGCCTAAGGGGATGGGACCATTCCCCATCTGCATTGTCTGTGGGACTTATCCAGAAGCTGTTCTAGCCTCTGTGTGTGCAGGAGGGAAGGGATGTGTCTTCTGTCTGTCCAGCTCTGATCTGGGAGTGCATCCCTTGGATTGTGCAATAACCAGGTTTGATTTCCCTCTGAATTTGGAGCAAGGCTTTGAAGCCAAGGCTCCCCTTTCTGCAGGGATTGTACCAGTGATGGTGTAGGAGTGAAGAGGCAGAGCTCACCTCTGACTTCTCTTTCTCTTTACTGAGGGGTGGTTGATTTCAGAAGGGGAGGGAGGCTGTGATGGTACCAGAGGTGCTGAGAGGAGGGAGGTCATCAGTTTGCTGAGTGTTGAATGTGCAAACAGCTGTAGATTGAACTGGGTTCACTGGTAAATGCCACCACTCAGCTGTCCCTGCTCTCCTGGCACTGTGTGCTGCTGCACATGATGGCTGAACCACACGAGAAACAACTCGGGAGTTTTTCCAAGTTGCAGCCTGGGGGTTTTAGGTGGTTTGGCAGCTTAGAAACTTGTTTAAGTTGTCCTTGCTTAGCACAGCGGCCTTAATTCCTCCCAGCTCATGATTGACACTGACATTCAGCCAGGTCCTCCACAGGTGACTGTTTGAATGTGTGTCCTGGCCAGCTGTCTGTGCAGGATGAGGACTGGCTGGGCCACCTTGAGCTTGAGGCACTTGGGCTGGGCCACTGCATCCATTTTCCTTTCCCTAGTGAGGAATTGGACCCACCCCAGCTACTGAAATCAGAAAATCACCAAATACGGGGTAGGAATTGTGGAAGATGGAATGAGTGGTGGCTTTTTTCTCTCCTTACTCCATCTCTTCCTGCAATTCCCCCAAGAAAAGTTTCTTCTTCCTTTTTTTCCTGTGCCACAGATAATTTTGGAAAATTTTTGGAATTGTCAATTTTAGGGGAAAAGTGGGGGAAAAAGTATATATTACTGTAAGCACACAGCAGTGTCCTTTGTGCTTGTTTTACACTTGTAGCCTTGTGGTGGCTGTGCACAGCAGAGAGAGATTACAGAAGCAAAGGTGTAAAGTGCTGTTACTCTCATAAAATAAATCCCTTGAGTTTCTGAGGGAGGCACATGCCTGGCCTGGCTCCGTTCCTTACCTGGCCTTGACAGATGCTCATATTCCTAAAGAGTCAGGGTTGGATTTCAGATCCTCTCCCTTGCTGGTTTTATACTTGAAGAAGAGGCATCCTGAAGAGTTTTCGGTTTTGCTATACCATAGCAAGGTCTGGTTGTCCTTAAATATTTTGTCAGCTAATCCTTAAATTTTAGTTATTGTGAAAATGCTGTGTCAGCCCAGCTGCTTCTGGTCAAGTGGAATTTCTGTAGCTTTGAAGGTACTTCATCTTTAGATTGAAGGAAAATTAATACAAAATTACACAAAAGGACAGAGGTGAATCTGAAAGCAGAAAAAGCTCAAAATCAGCTCACTGATAGCTGTGGCAGGCTGTGTCCCTGGTGTTTGACTGCACAGCACGTGCCTGGCACACAGCCTGCCTTCAGGAGCAGAGATCTTGATGAAAATAAGAGGTTTTTATCAAAGCTACTGAACCGCCTGGCTTAGGAACTCCCCCTCCAGAGCACACCAGGCAGCTTGACTGTTTTGCAATATTTCTGGTGCCTGCATGACTCAGTAAATGCACAAGAACAGGACTGAGGGGTCTGGGGAGGTTTTCCCCTGTTTTAACTGCAGTTTCTCTGTTTGTTCCATAAATGCTGTGCACAGGCTCTGCTACCATGCATGTGCCATGCAGAGTGGAGGATGCAATAACCAATCCAAGTTGTTACAAGTGCCAAACTTTTGAGTTCTTCTGTGTATAACAATAATTCAACTGTTCTACTAAAATACAGATATGCTTAAAATTCACTGTGTTCCAAAAAAGAGCAGTGGTTCTTTTTTTTTTTTAAATGAATGCTATTGAAAGCAGTGTAAATCTACTTTTTTTATACTGTTCTGCAGGTTTATGTTACTCTTCACAGCTGCCTTGCCATCACACTCCATGTGATGCATATGGACACTCTGCTCTTTATTAGAGCACTGGTGCCATGCAAGATATAATAAAAGGCAGCTGACAACAGGCTTTAGTATTTAAAATTGTAACTGTTTAGATTAAGTGCTATTTGTTTGCATTTATCGACCTGCAGAATGAAACTGTGCCTTGGGAAATGTGGCTGTGCCCAGGGACACAGGCAGACTGAGCATTGTAACTAAGGTGCGGTTTGGTGCCACTCACAGCAATGCTTTCCAAGGAATTATATTTAATTTAGTGTTAAATAGATCCTTTCTGTCTCTAATTTAGCACGGAGGATTTGAAGGTTGTGCTCTCTTTAGCTCCTTGGAGTACTTAAACGGCTACTTCAGGTGGGTGGGAGGGGTGTTAATTGCATCCGTGTTTGTAGAAGCTGCTATTTCCATCTTCCCAAAGGAGTATTTCCTTTTCCTGTTCAGGACTGAGTACAGGCTTGTGTTTCAGTCGTCACTGCTGCAGCCTTTTGACATTTGCCATTTCTGATGCTCTTCCTTGTATTTTCTTGGAGCTGTGTTTCCAGGGCACATGGTCTGCGAGAGAAAAGCACAGGGCATGGGAAGGTGAGCCAGTAAAAGCTAAAGGCAGTGGGGTTTGGGGGAAACTCTGCTCATTTTAGTGGGGGTGTGCTCTGAAGTTTATTAATAAGTTTGGCACCTGCTCTCCATCATCCCTATGGTTTTTGGTGTGGGGTTTTTTTTCTTTTTTTCCCTGGGAAATTTCCTTGCTGTAGGAAGGATTGCAGCCAGGGTTTAAGGTGACACCTCTGACCAGCCATGCCCAGTATGACTCTGCAGTCTGACTGCTGCTCTTCTCCAGCAATCAACCCTCTAAAATGTTTGATTAATAGGTTACCTAAAAACATAGACTAAAGCCATTCATCTAGATAAACACCTGCTCAAAAGCATTAAGGGTAACAAAAGAGTTAAACTATGAGCTACTACCAACAGGTGATTATGTTGAATATTTATTGATGATACAAAATCTGAATAATATTTTTAAAAATTACTTATTTTAGGTATCTGCTTTTTAGTTAAAAAAGTATTTGCAATACACAAAGTACTTATATAGAATAGTATTTGGAGGTTATTTGAAATAATCTATTGAAGTATCTTGAAAAGTGAGCTGGAAGATTGGAGCTTTTCAATGGAAAAAGGCTAAATCTTGATGCCCAGCAGTTTTGCAGGGTTTCTGTGAGCAGAGTACACCTGCCAGAGCACTTCAGGACATGAAGCTGCTCAATGCCACTGCCTACCTGTGCCCTTGAATTTGTATAATGAAATGAGGCTGTTCTGAGCCCTGGTAAAAGCTGACGGGTCTGATTACAATAATAGAAAGAAGCATACCCTATGTAATTAGTGTTACTTTATTGATAAAATTGATTGAAATTGATTGATGAAATTAATTTTTTTTTTTTAATAATGAGTGTTTTTGAATGACCACCTTGGGCACTTATTTGGTTTTTTTAAAAATTTGTTTGACTTTCCTCCATTTCTTTTGAGTTTATGCTGAGACAACCTCAGTTTTTGTCAAGGGCAAATTTCCTTTATCTATAGTTCTAAACCCTGTCAGACCCTGACCGACCTCCTGCCACCAGCTGTGCACTTGTTTCACAAGTGTCATTTCTGTGCATTCTGTTATTGGGCTGCCACCTCTGCCAATTTCAGAACAGAAAAAAAAAGCCCTGTGGAACAAATTCATACCTGATGAAAGCAAAAGCCAATTTGGAAAGTTTAAATTTCCATCTGCAATAGGCAGCACGCTACAAAAACTTGATCCTTGGCTGGGCTTGAGGTTCTCTCCTCAATGACCTCACATGCAAAAGCTGCAGGTTTTATTAATCTGCTTTATTAATTTACAAATGGTAGCAGGAAAGCATAATCATCCCTGTCACTGGTTTCACTGTTTTTATGTCTTAAAAAGCAAAGCCTGCTTATTTGAGTGAATAAAGCAGTACACAGGGATATTTGCTGAGGTGATCAAGTTAAACACAGCTGATATTCTGTAAAGCTCTTGCTATAGTTTCTTTCTGAAGGGAAACCAGGGAGTGCCCTCCTAAGAAATACTTTCAAACCCTTTCAGAGCTGGTCTTAAACTAGTCCAAAGGACTCCTTTGGGTTGCTTAGAGAACATGAAGTCTGTTCTAGCTTTTGTTTGCTTGGGGAAACACCTGCTAAGTCAATTTTAAGCTTTTTTTTTTTTAATCCTTAATTTCCAAAACTTGAGTGGTTTGCTTCTTGCAATTGAAACATGTTTGTATTTAATTTTTTTTTTTTTTTAATCCTTAATTTCCAAAACTTGAGTGGTTTGCTTCTTGCAATTGAAACATGTTTGTATTTAAGGGTCTGAGAGTGCATTTTGCAATGCATGGGGAGTGTTCTGTCCTATCTTGGTTACATGATGTAAACAGCAAGCTGTGTTCTGGGAGGCTCCTGGAAGCTCCTTTACAGTGCTGAGGGGTGGAGAAGGTTCAGTACCAGATTCTCCTTACACTGCACCAGTCTTGCTGTGAGTGTCAGATGGGGCAAGAGGCTGGGTTTGGTACAGAACTCATGGAATTGCCACCACTGATTGCCCTCAGTGTTTGGACCCCAAAGCCCATCAGGGGCAGGTCCTGGGTGTTCCATGCACGATGTTTCCTCTGGCCTCGGGTGTTTTCTCTTTTGCTGTTATTAACAGGATTTTGCTTTCACTCTCCCTCTGAACACATGGCCTGTGCTCACGGGCCAGGGAGCACAGCTGCTGTGGGTCAGAGGGTGGCCACACCAACTTGCTCTCTGTGGCTTTTGCACATCTCTGCACATCAGTGTGTGTGGGGACAGTGCTTAGCACACAATGAAATGACTTTTCATGGAGCTTGTAGAACTGATGCCGGCAGGTCAGACATCACCTGAACACCTGTAAGCAAACCTGCAGGTAGAGCAGGTGTAGCCCAGTCCCTCATGTGTGTCACTGTGCCTGGAAGTCTGGCACTTTGTCCTGGGGGGAAAAGCCCCTATTCCCAGCTACCTCATTTTTTCTTTCTTTGCACTTTGTCAAATATTTTTTGTTTTGTTTTAAATCACATTTTGTCCTTCAATTAAAACCTAAAAGCAGACAAGAAGCAGGACAGAATGGTACCATTGTCCAAGGACAGTTTAATTTCATTTTAAATTAATGTTTCTGTACAAAAAGACCAAGGTTGACCTGCAGCTGCTGTAAAAAGTAAATAAAAATTTCTATAACTTGATAATAACTATTATACTTGGAAATGAGAGTAGCAATTGAAAAGCTGTCCTGATGATTTTTAAATAGGAAGACATCTGTTCAAAAAAATAGAAGTCTCTGCTCTTTTAAGGACAGATCAGATAGTTTTCTCTCTGCCTCTACTCTGCTCTCACTATTTTGCCTGTGGACTTGATACAATAGAGAGATTCACTGATTTTTCTGTAATGTCTAATTAGATATTTTTCTGTGGAGTTTCCCATTTAATCACCTGCAGAGGAAAAACTGTTCAAATCAATACCCACCTTCCATACCTGAACTGTCATTGACCATTTTTTATGATCTTCAGGTATGTGGGATTTTGCGTAGATTGAAAAAGTTTTTTAAGTGTCTTTTCTTCTGCTCCTAAAGGTGCTATTTCGACATAGTTTTGAATTCCTTACACTGTGCTTGACTTCTAAAAGTACCAATATAAGCTGGTAATCAGCTTGTGTTTATTCTGTGGAGTTTTTCTTTGAGTATTCAATCTCTATTTTGAAAAGCATCCCTTTTCATAAAGATGGCTTCCAAACTGTCAAAAGGCCTTAATAATGCAAAATATAATGGGAAAATGCTCCCTTTTCCCTTCTTTGTAAAGGCAAAACCAAGAAATGCTTCACAGAGAATATTTTCCTCTAAAATTTTGAGGAGACGCTGATACTAACTTTGAATTCAATGTAGCAAACATTTTAGTGGCCATGCACAAATAGCAGGGGTGAAACAAGGAGCTATTCATTAACTCTGCAGACTGTACCAATTAGCTGCTAATTCCAGAGCCTTCCATTAGCATCATGGTGGCTATTCCATAAATATTAATCTTCCCAGGCTTGGTCCCAGGACATGGCTGTGTGTCTGGGACACACTGACCCATGAGGCTGGCAGGTCACTGGGGTGTTGTGCCCAGTGTAGGGTTTGTCTCAGACCCCTCCTGCTCAGCCCCCCAGGGTTTAGTGCTCAGGAGGAGGGAGGAGGGAAGCTCCAAGTGCTGCCATTGCAGTGACATCAGCTTGGGCACTATGAGAAGAGGCTCTTGTAGACACAAGCTCTGGAGGAGAGAGCTGAATTTTAGTCCTGCATAGGAACTTTGTTGTTGTCTTTTTTGTGCTGCCTTTATTTCTGTTTGATCCGTATCATCAGTTTGTTTTAGGCATTTGGTAACACTGCTACAGGAAGGTTTTTCTTTCTCTGATCCGTATCATCAGTTTGTTTTAGGCATTTGGTAACACTGCTACAGGAAGGTTTTTCTTTCTCTAAAGCACATGAAGTCCTACTCCTGCCCTGTCTGAAGCAGCAGGATCAAGGGTTGATGTTTGAATTTGTCCCATCTCCATACATCAGGTAATTTATTGTCTTCTTATAGGCTCTGCATTCCCAGTGCTGTAGCATTTTTCACTCATGTTAATCTCAGAGCTCTTTAGCCTTTTGAAAAGAGTCCAGAGACTGCCTTGTCCTTTTCCTCCTTCACACATTGGGTGCTGCCCTCTGGACCATCCAGACTCATCCAGGCTGTCACTGCAGAGGAGCCACCAGTTGGTGGCCTCACAGGAATATCTGTGTTACCTGCAGTGCTTCTGAAAAACAGCTGAAAAATGTTGAAAACAGCTGAAAATGGACAAACTACTGAGCTTGCAATTTCCTGATCCTCTCATTCTAGGGAAGGCTGAGGAGCAACATTGTTCCTTGCCTTGCAGCTGCTCCCTGCTGCACAGGTAAGGATGAGTCCACACTGTCCCTTATGATGTAAAGATTGATGGGCTGTTATAGGAGACTTGCTATTTTGCATTTGTTGTATTTAAATCTGAACTTCTGGAGCTATGGAACTGTGGGTTCTGGAACTATGTCTGCAGTGTAGAACCACAGGTACTGGCCTAAAGAGCCGGGGAGCTTCTGGCCACCTGTTTTTACACTGCACTTTCTTCTTTTCTTGAGAAACCAGAGATGTGAAACTGCATCCCAGTTTGTATGCCCACTGCTCTGTAATCCAGAGTAGGACCCTGATAACCTGGAATTGTTTTACCTTCAGAAGGAAAAACTGAAATTTCTTCACATTAGATGCTCTATCTTTCAGAGTTTTCTCTCGGTAAACCATATTTATTTGGTTCCATGAATCTTGTGGGATTGGGTTAAAGAAATGAATATGTATTATAAGAATGATAACTAGTATACTTAGTCTGACTTTGTACAGTACAAATACTCTCTTATATCTTAAGAGAATGAAAAAACTATTGAATAATCCAATTATGATATCTGTATTCCATGAACCAAGTAATAGGAGGGTGTTGGAATGTGATGTTACGTTGCTGCCACTCACGTAAAGGTTCAGTGTTCTGTCAAATCTAAGATCTTGATAATTACCAGGATATTATCAGAATATATTGCCACCTTTTCTACAAAAGGCACATTGGTGTGGTGAGGTAAAAGTACTCACCTCTTCTTTACCATCTGTGGCATGCAGCTGGACAGCAAGGGTCATCCCCATCATGCAGCTGTGGTGCTCTGACTCCTGTGTTACAGATGTGGTTACTGTTACAGCCTTTCTATGTGTGTACATGTTCTGTGGGTCCTGCTTTGTGTGGGAATGGAGTTTTAGCTTTTATGTGTCCACCTCAAAATCTTTAGAAATTAATTGATTAATCACTTGGGGGCAGGGTTTGGAATACTCTGATCAGAGTATGTTGAGTTACTTCTGTATAAAACAGGGAAAAATAAGACATAAATGCTCTTTGACCTCAATCAAACTATGCAATACAGCACACCAGAGAGCTGAATTCCTTGTGATACAGAAGTGCATCTCCTGTGTCCTTCCAAACCCAGTCCTTGGTCCAAGGTTAGGAGAGCTTGTACTCAATGGCTGCCCAAGAATCTCGTATCCAGATCAACTCTAGTTCACTGCTTTTGCTCCTGCCCCCTTGCCTGACCCAGCAGTTCAGCCAGGTCAGGTTGTTGGGTGTTTTGGCTCAGAATGATGTGATCTCCGTGTGTGTCCCTCCTGTTGTCCCATGGTGTTGTCAACTGGAGCTTGTCCTATAACCCCACCAGTGTGGCTTTACCCTCTGGGGCCACTTCAGCACATTTGCACCTCCCTGCCCTAGAGCATGTCAGGTGTTTGAGGTTTGCTGTGCCCCCTGGGTTGGTGTTGTCTTGCTTTCCCTGTGTCAGTCACTTGTGGATCTGGTGCTTACAGTAAAGAATGCCTGTGATGTCTCCAATCAGTCCAAGTACGTTTTCATTTCTGCCACTTCTGTGCGAGTTTGGTCTTTTTGCTTCTGTGGCAATTCAGCGATAAATGCCCATGTGTCAGGACTGCTGGTAAAGGTTCTTTGTTCTCCCACTGCTTCATTTTTCTAATGAAATTTATTCCTTGTGTTCTTCTTCTTCCCCCTGTTAAAAAACGGGTACAGTTTTTCCTGGTTCTGCCTCCCGTGAGGAGCTCTCCTCTCCCAGGTGATCATGAATTCTTCATTTCCTTAAGCCTGGACCTCATACAGTTTCTGCCTCCTAATTCCCTTTACTATTTTGTCTCTCTTTAATTGAGATTGACCTCGATTTCTTTCTCTGATTCCAAACAGGGATTTTGGTGCATAGCCTGGGAGACAAGCAGGAAAGCTCTCTCTGTGTACATCCATTTCCTCCCCAGCACACGCAGTGTAAGGGGCTCAGCCTGTTCCATTCCCTCCCCCAGGTTTTTCCTAGTGCTAAGCAGACCACAGGCTGAAGCCATTTCTTATTTCTTTTGGTAACTGAAAATTTTAGGAGATTTTCTTCTTCAGAAATAGCCACTGCAGATGAGCAGCTGGCATGAGTGAGGGTTGTTATGCTTCCATATTCAGTATTTTTAATTGAGGAACAAATAATTTATTTTGGGGAAAAATGTAAATTTTTTTGTATTTGTATGTCAAAGTGGCCTTTATAGGAAAAGCACATAAAATAGTTAGATTAAAATTGCTTAGTTGTGTAATTTCAGTGGGGATTTTTGTATTGACAGGGTTTCTATGCATTTTTCAAAATATACTTGCTGGTTTGTGTTAGAATTATTGGAAATCTTTTAAAAAACATGTATTACCACATTTTCCATGGTTGATCCCTTTACTATCATTCCTTTTGAATACTAAAAAGATTTTAATTAACCCTGTAAATTAATTTTCCCCACAAATATTTGCATTAAGTCAATATAATGAGTTATAGCATGGGTATGTAGCTTTAACGAAATAAGCCTAGTAGTGCAGCTTAATTCTGGAGAGATATGTTTGCAGAAGGGTGGTACAGCAGCGTTTCAATTGCACTTAAAACACTAAATTAGGAAATTAAGTTTTTGCTGTACCTCACTAGGGTTTTATTAAACTATGTCCATCCTGTATTGTTTACACTTTAGCATTATTTAACTATGTATTGTTTGTGCAGTTTGCAGTTCTCTGTTCTGTCAGGATTATGTGAACATTAAAAGATAGGAAAAGTTTTGGAGTGTGTGGTGTCCTCGTGGGTTTGACGTGAGTTTGGGGAGGGAGGAGAGAGGAAAGTCAGATCCATTAGTGCATTTTTCCATTAAATGATGTACACGTTTTCACATTAGATGAGACTGAATAACAGAAGTTACAATTGAACTGTGAGTAAAATCAGTGGTTTGGGGGTGGGGGGAATTAAGGGGTTGCAGAACTTAAGGCAAAAACCCTTCAGTTGCACTGTGGTACAACTGCCCTGACTGCCTGTGCAAAGCATAGCCCGAGGGGACACATCAGACCTATCCATTTTTCTGGTTTTACTTTCTCTTCCCCAGGTGTTGCTGCAAGGTTTGCTAGGTAGGACCTTCCCAAGAATGTTTATCAACTGAGACTTGAGTTTTATAATTTTATGTTTGTAGTTTTAATTTTTGTTCTTGTTTGTGTTTCATAGAACATCCCTCATGTTCACAGGTTAGTGTAAGTGCAGGCTTTCAGGTGTAGCACCAAATGAGCGTTTCATGCAACCATGCATTCTGTAATTGACAAAAAATGTGCAATTCTAATGGTATTTTGACCCATTGCTGAAACACTGGGTTTTGCAATTGAACAAACTCAAAAATTGAAAACACTCTGTGTCTTCATTAGATGTCTTGAAGGTGAAGCAAAAGGCAGTTACTCCAGTTGTACCCATGATAATTTGGTAATTTTTTAATAGTTTTATGGTCTGTTTTTAGAAAAAAACACTAATTTCTTGGTTTACTTTAGTTGCCATAAATTGCCTAGTGCAGAGTCTGGTCCACCTCCATTTGTTTATTTTCATGGAGTAGTTGCACAAAAACTGGTAACAGCAAAGTAGGAAAGCTCTTTGGTTACTCACCAGTAGCTTCCCTTGCAGAATTGCTTTGTGGCTCACACATGGTATGAAAAGGGACACGGGAATTTTCCTGGATTCAGTAGCACTCGCTTTGTTTACGTGTTCAGTAGAACATTGGGTGACTAAAGGGAGGCTCCCTTTTTAAAGTATTTGACTTGTGCTTTGAGGACTTAGTTGCCACTGTGCAAATTGTGCTGTAACATTGTACCAAGGATCAGTGAAAGTGTTTTATCTTTTTTAATGTCGTTTGTATTTGACCGGGTTTTATAAATGTAAGAAAACAGAGTGTTGTATTTTGATCTGAAATTTGCGTATGGTAAAAGTAACTTTGCTTTATGTATCGGAGGTTTGTTCAGAACTTGAATCATTTTATAGAAGGGTACAGACCAAAATTAATTGTCTTAAAGGTGTTTAATAAATTAACCAAATAAAACATTGATTGTTTGAAAACTTGTTAACTGCACCTTCTGTTTTTTGGGTGGTTTTTTTTTTTAATTTTAAAAATGGTTCAAGATTTTCTCTCAAGGTCTTATAAAAAGTGAAAAAAAAAAGTAGATTTTATAAATATCATCTCCCATGAGTTATCTGTTTTATTATTAAACATTCCAACATGCCAGAAGTTTAATCAAAGGGGAAAACCCAAAGGAAATAAATGGAGAAGGAAAGGCAATGAGGAAATGACGGGAGGCAGGATCAGTCCCTCCCTGGCTCTGCCCAGGCAGTAAATGCTTGTTGTTGCTGGGCCGTGGATGTGGCCACCCTAGGAAAAATGGGAGTGGGGAGCAGCTTCTGCTCACCTGGAAAAGCTCTTGTGGTTGTTTCAAGGTGTCCATTCTCCCCAGCAGTCACCTTCACTCATCCCCTTCACAAATACTGCTCTTCCATGTGACCTTTCAAAGCAGAGGAGAAAAATATGTGAAGCATAACTGCTCCCAAGGGCAGGTACAAACAGCTCCTTCCAGGGCTGCCTGATATTCTGACCCTTGGCTATGTCACAGCGTGCAGACGCAACCCCTGCAAGTTCAGAGACCTGCACATTTTTAAGATGCCAAGCAGCTGCAACTCCAGTTGAGCAATATTCTGCCTCCATGCTGTGCTGCTGCCTGCACTGGGATACCGGCACTGGGGTACCTTGCCTCTGCTGGGGCTGCCTCCCCTGGGTTTGATCTTCAGGAAAATACCCAGAGCTCTTTCAACCTTTTCCTAAACAAAAGGACTGAGGCAAGGCCAAGTGTGAGGTCAGAGTCAAGGAAAAGCTGGGGTTTGGGGCAGCTTGAGCAAGGGGAGTGAAGGGGGAAGGCAGCAATACAGCTTCAAAGCAGAGTGCAGAAACCAGATGCTGTAAATAAATGTTCTAAAAGAGGTGGTGGGAACTAAGACAGAAAAATTAATATTTGTTCCATAAATCCCTTTCCTTACTTAGTTCCACAGCCATACCAAGGTCCAGGACTGCCAGCCAGGTTGGTGCAGGGAGCCAGAGGCCTCCAGTGTAAACACAGACTGATGATAGGGAATCTCGTGTTGATTTACCCTTGTTGCTGGTGTTCCTATGGTTATGGCTGTGTAGATGGGCTCTGCCATATCTCCGCTGTCTTACTGAGTCTTGGAAACAAAGACAGGAGGGTGAACTTGGATTTATCTTTATTCCACAGCCTGGAATCCTAACAGAAAAGGAAGAGGGCTGCTGCCTGGTTTCCTTTACCTCTTATGCACAGAGGTGATATAACTTTTGAAGTTCCCATTTCTGCCTCTTTTTAACCCCTCAAATTCTTTTTCCTTAGATCTCACAGAAGAAATCCAGAACTGGTTCCTCAAACAGGATTTTCAGCTGAAGCTCTTGATGCCTGGGAGCAAGGTCTCTCTGTGCCTCCTTAACTGCAAGATACTTGCCAAGAAGGCAAAGTATTAAGTTTACACAACCGGACTTGTGACTCTGGTGATTTCTGTTTCACAGGCAGTCACAGTTGTTCACCAGCTTCTACCTCAGCCTGAGAGAGGAGTGTCCCATCAGCTTTCTCCTGGCAAGAATATTCTAGGAGAGGCATGCAGTTGGCAAAGGATCCCTGCAGGTTGGAGCTGCTGTAGAGGCATCTGGGTGTGTGAGCAGCCCCAGCTTTGCTGTGCCAGGCTCTTCCCAGGGCTGGTGTCTCCCTGGTAAGAGATGGCATTTGTATCCTTTACATAGCCCAAGTTTTGGAGCCATCTTTCAACAGGCTGAATTTTTCAGGTGAAGAACAGGCTTCTGGCCTTCAGAATCTCAAATCAAGCAGCCAGACCCTGCTGTTCACTAAGCTCCATTTTACTGAGTTGTCCATTTGCACAAGGATCACTGGAAACAGTAAAATTAACAGAATTAATTGCTGTTCAGAATTCAATACAACCCATAACTTTTTGTCTGGAAGCAGCTGTAAAGTCAGAAATTGATGCAGGGTCTATGGGGTCTTCATACAAGTCATTTGAACTGAGTGTTTTTGCCACTCCAGAGATTTCTCTGCTCCAGGTGAAGCCACTGGCAGCAGGATCAGAGCTGTTACTTTTCCTTTTTCCAAGAGTGCGTTTGGGTGTGCACATGCCAAGCTCTGTCACATGTGGCCTCTAAGGAATCATGAACCCCAACACTGTGGGCTGGGCTGAAGGAGTTGGCTAATGGAGAATTTACGGTAAGAGCAAAATGTATTTTTAACCACCAGGATATGCTTATCGTCAGGAAAGGGCAAGCAGCACTCCTATCTCTCCAGGGAAGGGGAAGTGTTGAGCGTGACTTTATTTTTTTCCAACTCCTTTTCAAACTCTGAAAGGGTTTTTTTCTTGCAGAGACATGTCATTGGATTAAATCTGGGAGTTACACAGACATCAATCCTGGGTCACAGGTGAAAAATATTAAATGCTAGGCATGCAGTGTTTTTCCATTGCATGTGATGTACGTTCAGGAAAGACCTTTGGCAAGAGTGCTTTGAAATCAGTCCGTTTTGCATTTTAAAATATACCAAGAGCCCGTCCATAAGCTTTTAATTTTGTAGGAGAGCTTTGATGTTTTCTGTGTTGAAGAGGAAAGCAGATTCCCCTCCATGTACCCCACCCTGTGCCTCTGGAACAAGCAGCACATCAGGTGCCTGCGGTC